TAAGGGTGCAAACCCATGGCAGCGGAAAAGCGTAACGCGGAACAAGAGCGGACCAATCGTGAGCGTAGCGAAAACTGCAGAACGCTCGCGATTGGTCATGCTCTCGTTCCGCGTTACGCTATTCCGCTGCATGGGTTCGCACCCTAAGGGTGCCATTACATGGAGCGCGGAAACGCGGAAACGCGGAAGAGAATTGTAACTAGAAAAGTAACTATTCCGCGTTTCCGCGAATTGAGTCGTTTCTTTCCGCACATTTGAGCGGAATCCGCGGAATCCGTTACCGTCTCAACAAAACTCAACAAAAGTGTATAGAAAATATAAAAACTTTATAAATGGATGGTCCTGTAAGTATTTGAATGCTTTTTAGTACTTAATAAACATAGTAGCTTGTTATTTTTGGAGACATTCTGAGATAGTTGAAATATTTTTCAGGATCTCCCAATTGCATCTCCACAAGTAGATTGTCGCTGTCACCTTGAAGAAGTCTTCTTGTCTCAGTAAAAATAGGCCGTACCCATATGTTACGGTTCTTTCTGCCTTGCAGTTTCTTGTAACGCAAATATAAAATATACATTGAGATAACCTTTTTCATAGTTATCTCTGCATATCTCATCGGTTCATCCCGTGCTTATATGAGATACTTCATAATATATGATATTATGATATTTGGATCCATTATTATACTGTTACTTTTAAATTAATAAAATAATCGAAATATATAAAAACGTTCTCCTTCACAAAATTTGATCTCACTTGCGTTCTCTCTCGCTCGCACGTAGCATACATGCGAGTGAGAGAGAACGCAAGTGAGAATTATCTGTATTTTGATGTAAATGGAAAGCAACTATTATATCACACAATAGAGACACATTTTTCTATTCAGATTTATTATCAAATTAGAAAGAATTGTTATTAGAAACGAAAATAACAAACTAAAGCTAATAGTTTCCCACGATTTAAGCTCATTGAATTGAGTCACTGATCTTGTAAGCACAAAATATTCTTTTTTAGATAGTTCTCATTCTTTTACGCGGAAATCTGGTTACTATTCTCTTCCGCGTTTCCGCGCTCCATCTAATGGCACCCTTAATCTAAGGGCCAATTTCACCAAGCTCGGTCAAATTAACCGACGGTTAAAATTAGCAGGGTGGCCAACAGAAAATAGAGGTGAAGGAAAACCAAGCATTCTTATCATTTCAGTTGGAACCCTGCTAATTTTAACCGTCGGTTAATTTGACCGAGCTTGGTGAAAATGGCCCTAAGACGGTCTTAAATATAAGAACTGACTATGAATACCGGCCTAGGTATTCGTGCGTCATGATTGTGTACTCATTTTGCTTTATCTATGCTTTGTTACGTCTCGACAATGCTCTTTTCTTACTATACCTCAGTTAGTGAGAAAAGGATAGCTCTCTATTTTTTATAGGGCAACCTGCTTCCACCGGCTATACCCCAGGGACGCCGAGAGCTAGGACTGATGTGGTGGATTCTAGGGGAATGACGTTCGGCTCGGAACTAATCTTTTACTAGAGTGATTTTACTGGGTGTTAGATATAGGAATATACGCATGCGCAAATGTTCATATGTGATTCAGTAGTAAAGTAATGCTTTAAATAATAAGAGTTAGAGAAATAGTTGAAGAAAAATATTATAATAAGAGAAGAAATTAGGAGAAAATATCAATTATTTATAAGAATTAGAATTAGGTGGAATTAAAATGGTTTTATTAAGGGTTCGGGTTTTTAATTATGAAAAAAAGGTTTTTGATTAATATCAATAATAGATCTTACTGTTTCATACGATCCTAAATTTTAATTCAAAGGGAAGGTCTAAGATATGGGAAAAAGTCAGTCTAGGGCATACTTCGATGGTCGATAGACGATAAATGTCTAGGGCACGGTATGTGCTCGGTAGACGAAGGATGTCTAGGGCACGGTATGTGCTCGGTAGACGAAGGATGTTTAGCGCACGGTATGTGCTCGGTAGACGAAGGATGTCTAGGGCACGGTATGTGCTCGGTAGACGAAGGATGTCTAGGGCACGGTATGTGCTCGGTAGACGAAGGATGTCTAGGGCACAGTATGTGCTCGGTAGACGAAGGATGTCTAGGGCACGGTATGTGTTCAGTAGACGAAGGAAATTCCGGAAAAAGGGTAAAGTGTCGCCGGGGAGGGATAAACTCACAGCAACCGGGGTACAAAGGTTGGATCACAGCCGAGTGACAACAGCAGAATAGCCGCTAAGCAAAATCTAAATTTGTCTAGTATTGATAATAATAATAGTAAGAATAATAAGGATGTTTCAAATGATTGCAGGAAGATAGATTGTGGATTATTAACGTTGACTGACTAGGAAACTGTCAGCAACGTGCAAATGCTTGACAGGGGTTTGTTTTATTATCAAAAGTGATGGAATAGGAACTGAGGTAATGGTTTGGGGCAAATGGGCTGTCAGTCAATTGTTGAAATAATCTTGAGAATATAAAGGGTGTTAGTGATTGCGGGTACTTACTGCGTTGTAGAACAATAAGCAATTAGTAAAATTGATTAATAATGGAAATAAGGGCAAATGATTAAATAATTGTTCTATATTCCATAGTCATAATGCAGAAATAAATGCGGTACTTAATTATTAGTTGAAATATGGTTTTGAAAAATGACGGGACGTCACACTTGCTAGCACCAAATGCTCTCTCCTGTGATTCTTTATTCATTGGGCTTAAGGATAGGGGCTCGTCTAATGTATTTTATATGTCTATGATCTGTACACATAGTACGAAAATTTAACAAAGAAGACAGAGAAATGCGAATAACGTTGTAGAAAAGTTTGTAACTGAGAACTGCTGTGTAAAATTTTCTTCAATATTTATATTATATCACACAATAGAGACACATTTTTCTATTCAGATTTATTATCAAATTAGAAAGAATTGTTATTAGAAACGAGAATAACAACCTAAAGCTGATAGTTTTAGATTTAAGCTCATTGATTTGAGTCTGATCTTGTAAGCAAAATATTCTTTTTTAGATAGTTCTCATTCTTTCTCCTACAAACTTACCTCTGGTGATTCCATACTTTAGAATATATGTACATATATAACCAAAACACAGCTTTTACTGCTTTGCTGTTCGACAGGATGAACTTCAAACAGCAAACACTTGCGCCGGAATATTATAATATCGGGTGCACCCGAATGAGGAATCGGAACACAGCATTACATGGAGCGCGGAAACGCGGAAACGCGGAAACACGAAAGAGAATTGTAACTAGAAAAGTAACTATAAGAATATTATTGTAGTAATATTAATAAAAAAATCATATCTGAGAATTAAATTAATGACTAATATTTATATCACAGTTTTGAATAATTAGTATTAGATTGTAAAATAATTACAAATGATATAATGAATAAACTTTCTTTTTGATGTGTGTGTAGAATATTTAATGTACTTGCATATTAGTCATTGTATTTATATAAAATATGAGATCTTTTAAAAAATATATTCAGTTTTCATAAAAATATATTACTGAATGCTAATTATTTGCAGAATTGAGGACAATGAATATAATTGAAGATACCACTTATCATTGTCGAACGCAACTAGAATCGATTATATTCTCTTATACATGGAGTATTTCTAATTTTTGGGAAATACGTGAATTTATGTCTGAATTGCACTGTGATAAAATCAACGATTATTTTATATTATATGTATCCTTTAAAGAAGATAAGTTGGAATTCTATGCTCGGAATGGAAAAGATATAAGATATGGTCAACAAAGGATGAGAATTTCGTATAGTGTTTTTTCATTAAGCTCTACTGAAACAAAACTTATATCAAAACGTGCAAGTGATTTGTTTGTTGATAAAGCTGAAGAGCTGTTGTATGAATTATCTACGTCAGATCTTAAGAATAATAGTGAGAAATATTTATCTAAAGGAGTATTTACAATATGTTTTAAATTTTGTAAATTTGTTAATTTAATTAACAGTAGTATATGCTATTCATACAAACCAGGGATATCCGTGACAGACATGCAATCTTTTGTTTCCAATGCAAAATCTGACTCACTTGTTACATTTGTAATAAACAATGAACATCTTCAAGCAAGTAAGGCTTTATTATGTTCAAAAAGTGAAGTCTTTGAAGCTATGTTTAATTGTGATTTAACTGAAAATAGAACTAACAAAATAGAAATAACTGATATAAAATATGATATTCTACAGCAACTTTTATTTTTTCTACAAACTGGTTGTTTATCTGAAGATGTAAGAGAAGATACAGAAATAGCATGTGAACTTTTGATAGCAGCTGAAAAATATGATATAAAAGATCTTAAATTAATATGTGAACAATATTTAATCGCAAATACAACAAAAGAAAATGTTGTAAAACATTTAAAGATTGCGCATTTAAATAATGGAACAACACTGAAAAAATATGCCTTAGATTTGATAAAATTATATTTAAAAGATATTGTGGATACTCCAAACTTTATAACTCTAATGCAAGAGTATCATGAACTATTATTGCAGATAGAAAACATTCAGGTGCCTATAACATATGTTCAGACAGCATATTTAAGATAAGTAATTTACATGATATAATACATTATCTCTGGTATTAAAATATAGATTTTTTATAATAAAAACCGTTCTCAGTTTTGCTTTAGAAAAAGATAAAAAAGTTGATTTTTTATTATTTTATATTATTATGCACAACAGCATTTTTTTGTCATTTGACAGTAGAAGATTTAAATGTATTTCTTGTAAGTATTGATAACTTTTGTTCTAAAAATTATTAATATTCACACACACAATATAATATGCCATAGGGATTAAGTAAAGATTTTATATTATTTTATATTATTATGCATAAGAGCAATCTTCTCTTTTTGTTATTATTTTAAAGTAGGAGAAATCTTAATTTGATAATTTAATTTCTTAATTTGTTAATCAATAATTGATATTTCTTATATGAATTGATAACTTTTATTCTAAAAATTATTATCCGATGTAATACGAAATAGGAATTACATACATTTTATTTGTTCAGTTCATTTAATGTATATTAAAAATATATACTATTCTTGAATTATAGCATTATCAGTCTTGTTATTACTTGTTAAAATACAAGTATTGTTCCAAATTATGACCGATTGTCTGCTCTGGCAAATTTTCCCGACTTCACAAAGGAAATATAGGTGTATTAGTAATTATATTAATTATTGCAGTAAAGTACACATAGCTTCCTTTTTTCCCGTAAAAAGAACTTATGTTTTGCATAATTTGCTATAAAATAATAATTTGAAATAAATATAAATAAATTAAAAGTTGATATAATTGTTGGAAGATCAAGATATTTTTTCTAATTTTTAAGAGCATAAAAACTATTAATTGTTAACTTTATTTCTAGCAATATATAAACGTTATCTTGTTTTTTTATGCTTTGTTCTTTCTCGTTTAAAAAAAAATTATCATTTTCGAAAATAAAGAATAAATTATGCTCGGTATTTCGGTAACAGGAAGCACTATGTACATTATACATGAATGTGTGTATGTATGTATGTTTGTGTATATACATATATATACAGGGTGGTCCTCGTAACGGTCGCCACGATTTTTAAGGCACTTACAATAATCTGACATAAAAAAGTCATAAACAGAAATTTATCAGTTTCTAACCGGCAACAAATTGCGATAATAAAAATTGACCAAACATTTTTTTTCCATGAAAAAGCAAGGTCACCTTGACTTTTTTAAATGGAACCATTGTATTTTTTTTTTTTAATAATAATGTAGAGGATAGCAAAACAAATTCAATGAGTACACACATAAAAAGTAGGCAGTTCCGTTTAAAAAATTGAAGGTGACCTTGCTTTTTTATGGAAAAAAATGTTTGGTCAATTTTTATTCTTGCAATTTGTTGCCGGTTAGAAACTGATAAATTTCTGTTTATGACTTTTTTATGTCAGATTATTGTAAGTGCCTTAAAAATCGTGGCGACCGTTACGAGGACCACCCTGTATATAAATTATAAATAATCATCTGATGTCTAGGTATTCGTGCGTCATGATTGTGTAGTCATTTTGCTTTATCTATGCTTGATGCGTTCGAAAAATTTATTCGTCAAAGCAGAGTACTGTTTGATTGACCAATCAGGAAAAGAAAACCAAAGTTTTCTTTGTTCCGATTGGTCAATCAATCTTTACTTTGATCCAACGAATAGGATTTCCGAATGCGTCTCTTACCCTGAGTGAGTAATGCTGAAATCGGTTATGTGCACTTGATCATTTATTTGTTTATATTTTTCGTGTAAAACTTTCATCTTTCGAGATGTATCTTGTTGGATTGACAGGCGGCATTGCTATTAAACTATTTAAAAGACAAATTTAATGTGGAAAATAATGTATCTATCTATATTTAATTACAGTCGTCGAACCAGGAAAGCCAGCATGGTATAAGATACAGAAAGAATTTGGTCCGGATATGTTTTTGGATACTAAATACTTGGACAGAACGAAACTCGGCGATTTAATATTTAATGATATTGAAAAAAGAAAAAAACTCAATGCCATTACGCATCCTGACATATATAAGGAAATATATTGGCAAACTATTAAATACTTTCTACAAGGCTATTCGTTTATAGTCATGGACCTACCATTGCTTTTTGAAACAGGACATATGTTAAATTATTTACACAAAATTATAGTTGTAACATGGTATGCATACATTACAATCAATATACCAGAATACCGTATCAATATTTTAAATTGAGTAAATATGTACAAAATGAGTCTTGGTTCTTTGAAGCTTCTATAAACTTTATAACTTACTTATTACTTCCAGTGAAGAGGATCTTCAATTACAACGTTTAATAGAGCGCAGTGGATTTACAGAAGCTAAGGCAAAAATAAGAATAGCTGCACAAATGTCCTTGGAGAAGAAAGCTGAGATGGCAAATTTTGTAATTGAAAATTCGGGTAGCGTAAGCGACACTAGGGAACAGACTATAAAAGTGATTAATGTATTAAGATGCTCTAAGCATCACTGGAAATTGCGTTTTCTAGTCGGATTTTGTTGTACCATATTGTTAGTTGGCGCATATTGGTTAAGAAACAGAAGCTCCAGATCTTTATCCTCTGCGGCATAAATTATTTCCTGTTACAACTAATCAGTTTAGACAAATAAAAGTTTGTTCCGTTGTAAATTGTAATTTCGTGATAAAAGCAAATATGTATTTAATTAAATTATAATAACAAATACGCAAAAAAAAAAACGAAAATTTTAAAATAGATGGAAACATTAATTTACAAAATAATCATTCTTGCTAGATAAATTGATGCATTGTATAAAAAGGTAAAGGTACTTTTCCTTTTACTTGTAGACAAAGTTTCTATGTGATTATAAACTGTGCAATATTAAATATTTTATTTACATACAACCAGAATTATTCTTCTGGTTGCAATGCGCTAGAGCTAACGATAGGGCAAAGGGATACAGAATTATATATGTGTGCATATTTATATGTACATAAATATATGTAATGTCCAATGAAAAAGTATTTCATTGACAAAAATGAAGATATCTCATATTCAACACTTACACCAGAACGTCACACAAAAATGTAAAGGAAAAAAAAAAGAAAGTAAAGCGATATGTTTGTTATGAGTTAAATTAGACAACTCTGATGTAAATATTTTACATTGAATTATAATAACATAATTAACACTATAAAGTACAATCCTTTTTATTATTTTTATTGAAAACGGGTGTGTAAATTTGTGTGAATGCCTCGTATAATTAGTGGATGCATTTATTATAAACCGAATGTAAAACGTTATTCAATGATAAATGTATAAAAAATAAAATTAATGGCTACTATTATAAAAATATATGATTATATATTATATCAAAATGTTATGTGTATCTCTCTCTCTCTTATATATATAATGTATAAAAATTAAATATATATATAATATTACAAAAAAACATATCTTTTTTCATCATTCTTTTTTATAGTGAGAAATTGAAAAATTTCAAAGTGTAACTTCATTTTCCACACACAAGTTTCGCACTTGCAAGAATACAAAAGTAAAAATCATTTCGTCTTTTCTTCTTTTTTAATAAAGTGCTTTTTAACATAAATTCATACGTAAAAGATTATTCATACATATTTGTATGCATATATAAAATACACGAGTACATAGTGCTCAATTTCTTAAATGCTAATTATCGCAGAATATATATACAAGTATATAGAATCGATTAATAACGTGACTTAAATTCAGATGTATGCCCATTTGATTTATGATATATATATATATGTGTGTGTGTGTGTAATTTGATACGCTCGTATATGGGCTATAAGTATAAATTTTTCATTGCTTTTATCCTAATATCTAAACAGAAAGCTGTTTGTTTAAGTAAATTATAGAGACCGATAAAGGACCGTGTGTGTATAGCGATAAGTACTTAATAATTAAAGTATTGTTTTATAAGAGTAATTAGCTTATATATATGTTAAAAGCAGAAGTATAAAATACATTTTTCTTGCGATTAATCTAAAGAAGAAGCAATATGGAATACTTTGTACAGCATCGTGTACATAATATTCATTATTAATTAATATGCAAAAACTATATGGACAAATTATTTTATATAATTTATTTTATAAATAAGGAGAATAACTCATTCGCTTTTGAAACATGTAGAATATTTCGCTTAAACAAATCGGACAAGAGCTTGGAAATTAGTTCTCGTCCAATAGATAAATTTTTGTTGTACTTTTAATATCGTAATTTCATACTAAAGTTCTATGAAACCAGTTCAAAGAACAGTACATGAATCTTTTTATAGATATATATCTTTTTTTCATTATACTATATTTATTCTCCTTTGTACTTATGTTAACGTACTTATATTAATCTAAATGAGAGTCATTCTCCTTATTTACGCCCGTTTATTTTACAAGTTTCTCGACAATTCTTTAATTGTTTGTTGATATAATTTCAATTTAGCCTTACACACATATAAAAAAACGAGATTAATATGAGACTATGTATAATATAATGCACAGAGAAAAAGAAGATACAAAGGAACATAATGTCATGATGCAACTAATTGTCGTGATTGTAGATTGTCATTCCTATTATTCTACAACTATACACACTTTGGATATATATATTCGCCGACGATTATTATGCTATATAATCGACTGTATATTCCTGATACTATTCAGAGAAGATAAAGAATATTTTTTTTATAGCTTTCCACACGAATATAAGGTAAACATAACCCGTAAGAAGTTGTATGCAGACTCGAATATAATTATTAGGAGGTAAAGGGGTAGAATCTATTTCTAACCAAATATAATTTGATTTTATTTATTTTTAACAAGAAAATTATTTATTTATTTATTTTTAACAAAATGGTTCTAAACTAAACATCTGTTTTCTTTAGGTTCTATCTTTGTGTAAATAAGTATGGAAGTTAAGAAATTTAAGATGTATATGAATATTACATCAATGTAAATATTTCTATTTGCTACATTTGCAATACATCTGTGTCATTCCACAGCCACTGATCTCTCTCTCTGTCTTCCGTTCTTTGTACTTTCGAAGTACATCAGTTTATTGTAAGAGAAACATGATTTAGTCAGAAGATGTTATATTCTTAATAGCCAAGTAGGTAGGTAGTGTGTATCGTATATTTGTCGATATCTTGTCAGAATACAACTGTTGTCCGTATTCTTCTGCTACGCGACTTACTGTAAGACAGGCCTAAGTTCTTGAGACATAATGGGATAAGAAACGAGGGGCGCGGTCGCGCCGGATATCGATAGAGGTAGGCTTGCAGGCTGCTGTGTATTGGGTGGCTGTTGATTGGTAGCTTGAGGAGGTCCGGAGCCGCTCATCGAGATGGTCTGTTGCGCCATAGTAACGATCGGCGGAGGTATCGAAACCGGCGCCATAGAGACCGCCGCAATCGAGACGGGCGCCACGGTTGCAATGCTTACAGGAACGGTGGCTACGCTGGCGGTGACTGTCCGAAGAGTACCAGCGGCTACGGCCGCATTGACCATCTGTTGAGGCGTCGGGGCTTGTGACGGTGGAACTGTATTTGTAATCGTGACTGCCGGCACTGTTACGGCTGTTACATTCGCGGTTCGTTTGCCCGACATCCTCAATTGAGCGTTTTGATCCAACAGAAATTCATTCGTCGCCGTCAAATCGCTAACCTAAGACGGAAAAATGAGAATTAGAACACAGTATAAATAAACAGAAATAAAAACAGGTTGTCTATTCAAATTTTGTAGAAAAAATCCTTGATCTTCCAAGTATTTTTGTTCAAAATTCTAAGTAAAGAGAGAATATTTTAAAGATTTTTTGGTGCAACTTTCTAAAATAAGTTTTCATATTGTATGCATTTTCTAATACTTTTCATTCATACGAAGAAAAAACACAAGGCCGTTTCAAATGCTAGATTTGCAAATGTACTGAAAAAGCTGAATAACTTTCGTAAGATAAACATTTTTCACTTGCATAACATTTTTATTTTATCACTAAAAATTATAATAAAAATATATATATGTGTTGCATATTCAAAATATTTTGTTAAAACATTTAATATATATAAACACAAAAATAGATAGATATATACATTTATAATATATTTTAAATATATAATTCACATAACTTGGCTTATTGGCGGATTGCAGATTGATTACGATATAAAAGCATTATCAAAGCAAATTTTTTAAAAACTTCCTTAAATCCCAATAAAATTCTATGAGATTTCCTGATTTCTTCAAGTACAAAAGAAATCTCTGAGAATATCAGATTTTCCATATGTTTCCTGCGAGTAGACATCCTGATCAATATTTCTATTGATATTTTGTAATAAATGCACGTGTATATTTAAATCTTGTATACCTGTTTCTTCAATTCTTCTATTTTTTTCCTCAACAAGGCATTCTCATCCTCAAGTACGATAGCCCGTGCCTCGTTGCGCGGTATTACAGGGTAATAATAACTCGGCGTGACTGCCGCTTGCGTGGCGTGCTGGCCCACGATCGTAGAAGCGTCAAAATGAACGACCGTTTCGCCCGAGACTATCCGTCTCTTTGGTTCTGGCGGTCCGATGTAATCGGCCGGATGTGATGTGTTGTAACCGCCGTTATTAGCGACCAAATTGTTATGCTGATCTTCCATTTGCCAGTGAAAACTGCAAATTTATAAAAAAGGAAATCGTTAGAAACGCAAAATTAAAATTTATGTGTAAAGGAACATTAGACGAGTCAATCGACTACAAGAGATCGCTTACTTTCTATCCTCTTCGTATCTGCGATTCTCGCCTCCGGCACCACCGCCGTTACTCGTGCCGTTGAAATTGTGCTGCGGTCTGGACGCGTTGTGATGCGGCGGCGACATCAGATTGTGCTGCGGCTCCTCCTTCTTCCAATGCCTGAACTTGCAGTTGGCTCTCTGGCAACTGCCCTTGAGGAAGTCCTTGCACAACGGATAATCCGACTTGTCGTTATTACCGATCTTGGATCTGTTGAGAACGTGGGGCGGTAGCTCGCCGGTCGCCCGGAAACGCTTCTCCTCGCTTTCCGTGCAATGGAGAAATTTGCAGCCCGGCCAGTTGCACATGCCGTTCTGGTAATCGTGGCAGAAGGTATACTCCTCCACCGGATCGTCGTCGGAACGCTCGTGCAGGTACTTGCAACGCTTCCCACGATGGCACACATTCCTCAGGAAATCCCTGCAGATGCGATTCGCGACATCGGGGGTGTCTGTCGCGTTCGCGTTCAATCCGCCCGCCATCCCGGTCGCCTGCTGCTGATGCCCCGCCGTCCCGTTGCCGTCCAACTTTTTCTTCAGTTTTTTCATCGATGAAGCATAGCGGTCGTCGTCGTACCTTCGATCAATCGACGGAACCGGCTAAGCACGGCTAATACGTCGTGCGACCCCTAAGTAAAGGAAAAAAAAGTGAGATATATAATGCGATAGAGATTTAAAAATATATAATAATATTATTATAGTGCATGTGCGTTACACTGAGAGAAGCTGTACAGCTTTAATACCCGCTCATAGCAAACAGTACTTACGAAACCGCGAGATAAGTTGTTAATTGCGCGTTAATTTACTCTCAACTAGCGTAATATATATCCTCCATAGAGCGGCGCGCTCTAAGCTGAAAAGTGAATTACGGGGTATTAAGAGTAACAAGACGAGATTTCTCAATTTGAATTAAGTTAACTTTTATCTTTATTTTCCCTTTTCGTATAATACGACTATTACATCGGTAGTAAGATTATATCAACATTATTATGTACAGCATTTTTATCTATCGTTTACTTATTTACTTTGATAAATCCGTGATACATACGTTTCTTAATCCGTCAAGAAAATTAATATCGAGCCTAACGATCGGAGCTCGCATATTTCTTGAAAAATTTGTATCACGTTGATCTTTGTTCTTTCACGACGCACTGATACGAATGACTCCTTAATTAATGCGATTGAAGTAGACGCGCGCTGCGAGCGATGGCACACTCTCTAACTAAACTAACGAATTAAGAAAATACTGTCAATTTTTGCGTCACGCGTTCGTATCAAAAGAATCAATTAGAAAACTACAATTATTGCAGAATTTTCTCGCTTCAAGACGTAGATGATATCAAGGTCATTCCTCAAGGTAGGATCGACAGAACGGTCTATGAATGCGAAGAAATTTTCTTTTTTTTTCCGAGAAGTAAACGTATTTGCTTATTATTTATTAGGTCGCTCAAACAGATATGCTTTTGTATTGTCACGCTATTCATTTACAGAAAGAAGAGAGAGAGAGAAAGAGAGAGACGATAAAAAAGTATCATTGTGCAATTAAAGTCGGAGGATTCGGGATTCATCTCGCATTGCGATGCGCTTTGCGGTAAATTTTCACTCGTGAATAATGAACCTACGATTAGAAGAGAGAGAGTAATGTTGTTAACATATAATATACGCATGTTGATATATGTGAACGCGGCGATCAAGATTCCCCTTCTCTCACTCTCTTACAAAAGTACACATTCGCATTAATTCGGTCTCTCAACTAAAGAACTAAAAAAAAAAAAAAAGCGTGTTAGGTAATCCGAATGACGAATATATCGAGTATGTATCATTTCACGCGCAGACTCGCTTTCTACAATTAATTATTTATGTACAAATCATTTATAAAGAAAGTATTTCACGATCGAAAAATGTGCGCACTCAAGACGCGGATGCGAACAGAGTATCCTCGTAAGCTCGCAGTGAACGATATACTTAATCTTTTAATATGCTGACACGTGTATAGAAAAAAAAAAAACGCGTATCATTTTGAATAAACAAACGTACAACGAAATATATGATATTGTGAATCCGGATTTGAGCCATATTACGAGATATGATACTCAGCAACTTGGCAGCATGTTGAACATTTTACGTGATATCGTATCTACATTCCCCCCCCCTCCCCCTCTAGCTACTTATAATTTCCAGAGAGCGTGAGTCGCGAGCTTCTGGTTTCGATATACATTATTATCCGGTATAACGATGTTTCTTTCCCGATTTTTGATGTTGATCCTTCCTTGTAAAGCGTGGTAACGCCGATTCAAAGCTCGCTTACAACATTCGTTATGAGAAACTTCCCTAATCCTTGTTCTCGACTCAGACTGAGAGATTAAACATATAT